AAATCATATTTAGTCTCCAGATTAGATAGGGATAGTGATCTATCATTTAATCTCAGACCAGTGCTAGTGTTCATTGTTTTTTTTCCAAATAATCAAACCCATCGTAAAGTTGTGTTTCTATCTTTTGAGGTGGTTTACTACTTTTGGTGATGCACTTGATTATTCGAACACCCCAAATCTTTGAATCTAAATTGCAAATAAAAAAACCCCGTGTTGGTTGGAGGAGTGGATAATAATAAATTGCAACATGCCCACCTATGAATTCAATCATTATGGGAGTCTTGACCTAATGATCTTAGGAGATTAGTAAACAAAATCAAGGAATTTATATTTTTTAATAAGGTTTTTTGTCATCAATTATGGCGATGAAACTACTAGCCATATCTATTTAAGTTCTCAACCAAAATTCTTCTAAGGAATTTTGGGTTGGCTGACATTGTCACCTAAATGCTAAGGTTTATATTTATTCAATTCCTTAAGTTAGACAAAAGTGAACAACCAACCATGAAGGTTAGGGAGTGGTCGAAATTTATCTGCTTACTAGTGAAAAGAAATTTTCATAACATTGTATCCCTAAGGGACAAGGTAGTGATAATGATTAGAAATAAAAAAAATTCTAATATTCTATCATTCTCAAATGGCTGCTAGACGGAAGGATACATATACTTGATAATTTATGCATGAGGCAACAACATTACAATTTATAACGTCATTAGCCATTGTAAACGCCAAAGCTTGTATGTTTTATGGTGTGGCATGATTACTTATTTGTACTAAATACTCATTATGACACCTCTTAAAAAATATTTTTGGAGAATGAATCCTATTGAATTAGGCATTAAGCTCGTCTAATTTAAAATTTAGTTGAAGAATTTTTAACTGACAAACATATGTTTTCAACTTCATCATCTTTCTTTAGCTCCTATCTTATTTTTCTTTGATTTAATGGGCCAAGAATCAGCTTAACTCCAAACCCCCTAATTTAGTGTCATTTAAATGCACATGACCTATATTTCTTAATTGAACCTTAAATTTCTTATTAAATTATATAAGGTTATATCTAACTGATCTAGATATTTTTTATATGTAAGGATTTATGAAGTTGACACCAATACTTGAAGAATTTAATCCCCGGTAATGGCGCCAAAAACTTGATCCCAAGCAAAGTAAGATTTTAATTATATTTTTAAATAGTAGAGATTCTACGCAAGTATACATATCATTATCAAGTAATATAAGACTTTCTGATTAAGCCCCGAATATCGATCCCACGGAGATTGATTAATTACGTCGGTTTTCAAGAGAAGTTCTAGTCTAGAATGACACACCCTAACTTGGAAGGATGATAAAGGTTTGGTTTTGATTATATCATACAATTATCACAACAATTCTACTTCTACTCTTAAACTAGAATACTTAGTGAAAATCAGAAAGAGGGGTTTAATCTATTAAAAGTACCCTTCCTCATACAATGAAACTAGTGACATGTGTAAAAGCTAATACAAGTAGTAAGAGTGATTGTGACAAATAGGAACAATTATATTCTTTACCCTTACTAAAGATGCTATAAAAAATATTAGTTAATCTAAAGTTTGAATAGTTCAGAAGACGGGCTAGGCAGGGAAGATACAAGCTCTCACTCTAGAGTTCCCTCTTATCCCTCCACGTTGAGGCTAACATCTCGCATCAAAACCTAAAACAATAGATCAAATTATTTTAGCCTGTCACGGGGTTTTAGCCTGTCACTCTAAAGTCCTCTAATTATTTCCCTATTTATTTGCACACTACCATATGAACTACATTCTCATCCATACAATCTCATGTGATACTACCACAGTAGACCACAGTTGATTGGGACAACACCATCACATCCATACAATCTCATGTTGTATAAAATTTCCCTCTATTGATCAACTTGCATTCTCATTCATACAATCTCATGTGATTCTACCACAGTTGATCCATACAATCTGTTGTGATGGTGTTGTGATGGTGTTCTCACAACAGATTTTAACATGCAAGTTGATCAAGTTTACATGTAAATGAAGAACAAGATAAAAACATCACAATATATTCTCACTCTACTCAATTCTATATCCTACACATGCATTCTAATTCATTATACGAGAGAAGAGTAAAGAAAACTACTCACTACACATGGAGAAACAACAAGAATTTTTCATTGAATAAGACTTTGAAACCATACAAAAAAATACTAAATTCAAATCCAAATACAATGAAAATACTTATCTCTGATAGAAATCAAACTCCTTGTATAGCAAAAACAATCTCCTTACAATCCCTCCAAGAGCAAAGTGAAAAGAAAAGAAGAAAATCTCACACTCTCTCTTTCTCTCTCACCTTGTCGCCCCACTTGGGGCTCACTCCCAAGACTTCTTCCTCTTCTCCAAGCTTTTTTCTTCTCTTCTAATTATTTCAAGAGTCCAAGAGTCATTTTAAAAAATATTTCCAAGCCTTATTTATAATTTCCCAAGAGATGTTCAAGTGTCTCTTCAAAAGTGTCCATATTCAATGAATCTTCCAAAATGTGTCTCAAGTTACTCTTCATAGTCTTAAAAAACGTTCATATAACCACCAAAAATCCATTTTAGAAAGTCTCTTTTATCGTTTCCAACCAATTCCCCAAGAGACACACAAAGCATTGCTTCAAAAATCGTCCAAATCCGATGTAGATTCTAGAAGATATGTTGAAAACCGTTTTTGGTGCTTAAACGCCTATTTTGGGCGCTTAAGTGGCACAGGCACTTAAGTCACTGGTTTCGACCCACATGGCTCCGGTGTGCCCCAATTCGACTCGATTTGCTCCGATTTGCTCCATTTTGGTCCATTTTTGTTCCTTTTGCTCCAATCACTCCAAATTCTTCAATTTGACGTATCTACAACCAAAAACACAAGAAAACGTACCTTTAAAGTGCAATATCATTATAAAATATAACATGAAAAATAGTATATTTTTAAGCACATCACTAACCTAACTTAAGTTTGTTTAACCGGGTAAGTATTGATTGACTCTATCTGATCCAACGACCTAATTCCATCTTCTATCAAGTCAAACTCAACTATAAATTATTTAATAAAAATGGCTTAATAATAAGTGGTTTAGACTTATATTAAGGGATTGTAGTTAATTTCCATTAGTTGAGCCTTACAATGTTTTGTGAATGCATATTTAATTAGACATATATGATAATATTATGTTTATTAATACTTGATAAATTATGTAACTTGTTAATACTAGCTTAATTAGGGTTGTATTTAGCACAAGCATATCAATCAGATTTTAATCAAGTTAAATGAGATTTTATTTTGTGTTTCAAACATTAAGCACATTTCCCTAAACATAGTCGAATTAAGCTTAGTTGTATTCATTGTGTCAATTCTTTAACCCAATTCAATCTAATGAGTTCAAACTCAATTTCCAAAAGTAATAAATGATTACAAACTAGATGCAAGACCTTGCAATATAGGTCAAATTCTATTAAATAATTAATCAACTAATGTGATTGTAGCCCAGATACTTATACTCAGCTCAAAATAGTGACCATCAATGAGATATGTAGTTTCACTTAAAAGGGCTAATTGTTTACTCAATAAATTAAATGAGCCATTAAAAAAAAATGAAGTTTAGCCTACACATCAAAGGGACAATGTTCGTGAGAATTGAGCCTTAATTGTAGATTAATTATTTTATATATTAAACCCCAATCCATATTTAATGAACAAATTTGAGCTCAATGAAATAGACTCCCCAAGTTAAGGTGACTTGAATATCTAATTGATTTAACAATTAGATAAATATATGGAGATATAACCCATATGCAGAATAACTATCCTATGCATAGGTTAATCCATTTGTCATGAAAAGGAAACACCTCAATATGACTTTTAGGAACAAGCACTTGAAACATCACTATTTATAAATCTCATACCCTCTTTCATCTATTTTTCAAATTCTCACTCAAACATCTAAATTTACCAAAAAAACTCCGTCCCATATATTTCCATTTTTATCAAATTCTCAATAGCTTCATCATGACACATGCAAATGCACTCATACAATCACTTAAAAGATCGTTGAGGTCTTGATTTTAAGTATAGCAATATTTTAAATGTTGAGCATACGATCATCCTCAAATTTTAAAATGACAAACAATTGAGAAGATTCAGATCAATTGCTCTATTGAATCAATCGATTAAAATTTACATTACATTTATTGTTTTTAATTGGCACAAGCTGCATGTTGCTATTTTACTCAAAATTAAATTTAATGTTATTTGGGAAAAAAATATTCCTCAACAACTTCAATATTGCCTTCTTTAGTTCAACATTTTAGCAAAATGAAACCACATTGTGATGCATCACACAATGTTTTAATGACTCAATTAAAGATGATTTCACCCTTCCATTTTTAATGTTCACTCCAAATTTTAAAGTGCAATGTTTCATGAAAATCATATCCTGTTCATAACATATCGAAATCTATGGTGTAATTATGGTAAATAAGAAGCGTAAATGATGCATCAAGATATCTATTTAACATTAGAAATAATTTATTACATTTTTATACAACAAATATTTAATATAATACTTCAAACTTTGGTTGACCCTTTCTCAATTGCTTGCATTAAATATCATGCTTCATCGAAGAAAACTTTAAAGGAGCATTTACATACATGCCACTCAATTCTTTTATATTTACAAATCTAACACAAACTTTTTCCAAATTATACCACCCAAACCTTTCATAATCACATCAAAGATGCCATTTTAACTTTTAAAACGTGAAATACACCATTTAAAATTAAAGTTTTAAGTGTTAGATATGTAAATACATACAAACTGAGTGGTATGTATGTAAATTTTCCTAACTTATAGCATAGAAAATGAAACCAAAATAATGAAAAATGTCAATAATCACTAAACCACTAACATAAAATATTAAATACATATAAAATTAATAAAATTAATTTACAATTGACAAAATTAACCTTCCTGATCTCAAATCAGCCTCATCCTCACTAACATTACCATGAAACCAGACCAGAGCCTGCCCCAAAAAGCTCGAGAGAAGGCGGCAATGGAGCCTCGGGTTCTAACAAGCCAATCTGCTCCATAAATCTACTAATCAGAACCCCACCAACATAGGACAATCCAGAGACTGTGAGTCCAATTCCAAGATAATAAATAAAAGTTTTGGTATAATGATGTGGTTCAGTTATATGAGCTTTAGCTATGGAGAGCAGAGAAATACACAGAAGTGACGTTGCTGCCACCAGAATGAGCTTTGCAGTGCTGTCTTTTGATGAGAAGCCATAGATTAATGGAGGAAGGAGGCCGAAGAGAGAGTATGAGATTAAGGAGACTGCAACATGAAATTTGAAATTTGCTCTTCTGCCCAACAATTTGTAATACTGGTCAGATTGATCATTATTTTGATTTCTTGCTCCACCGCTTCTGATTTCTGATAGCTGCATGTAAAGATGTAAGTCTTTGAGTAATGTAAAATGGAGCGTGTCTTTGGTTTTGGAGCCTAATTGATGAACTACATAAAAACTATGTGGATTGACCACTATAAGGAGGGTGTAAGAGAGCTGATCTGGCTCAAGCTCAACTAATTAACGAGCTTGAGAGTGGAATCCATGAGATCAAGATCAAGTTCAAACTGTAGCAAATTTATTAAATGAGCTCGAGTTCAAGCTATTTTAGGTTTGGGTCATTGGCTCAACTATCCAATTTATGGTCACATTGATACCTTCTCCGGCGAGCTATCGTGACACTCCCTTCAACAACTATCCATGCATTCTCCGGTGAGCTCTCATGATAATTTAATTTTCGACTTAAGCTCATGAGCTTCTTGTCATCATTGTGACTCGAGCTCGAGCTTACATTTTGACAGATCATAACTCGAGCTTGACTCGCTCATTTACATCCCTAGAATTAAGGCTTTAAAAATTTAATTTTGATTTTTCATAGGTTTTTATTATACAAGGGAAAAAGAGAGTGCGCAAGGTCATGAATTCATCTTATAAAAATTCAATAGTATTATCACAATAAAAGATGTAGTGGCACAAAAACAACATAGTTATTTATTGGTTGAACATTTGAGTTGGCCAACAATTTATTGTAAAAAAAAAATTGTACTAAGGATGTCAATATACAAAAGAGATAAAAGAAGTATAAATAGTGGAGGAAGCTATAATTTCTTCTCGTCATCATAGTAGAAACTGTTGTGGCAGAAACAAAAAAGTCATTAATTAGGCGAATATGTAAGAAAATCGTTGGTGTTTTGCTTGTTTATTAGCTTGTTTTTATTTACTCTTGATGATTTAAATTGTGGCACTTATTCTCAACAATACCTAGTTAATTACTTAGGGGCCATTTGGAATCACTTCTATTTTTTATTTTATTTTATTTTTATTTATGTTTTTTTTTTGAAATAAAATATGTATGTGACATATTTGATTAAGGTATGATTGGTTTTAAAAATACTCAAAATACCTAATAGTTATTTTGAGAATTTAAAAACATATGTTAATTTGTTTCAAATAAAAAATAAAAACACATAAAAAATACATAAAACAAATATATTGTTTTAAATATATATATA